GGATAAATGTTTGATATGCTTGGTTTTGTAAGTCAACTATCTCTTGCTTGTTGCTATTTCAAGTAATATCACTTCACACTGACCTTATCTTACCGTTTCATGCCGCCTTCTCTACAGCTGCAAGTCTATGTATGTTTCCAAGAAGGAAACCTTCTGGATAGTTTGACAACAAGGAAAAAACCTGTCAGTGACCATTACATGTAATGAAAGCCAGTAATTTTTCAGGTATAGTACAAGCAAAGTTGGACTGAGGAGGATATGATGGCTGGATTTTTTCATGGACAATCTTCCATGCATTCAATTTAATTTCTCTGTTTATCAGGCCACATATCTTCCCCTCCCCCTTCTCTCTATTAACAGTCAGTGCCACATAATCACTCATGAATGTCTTTTGACTTATGTCCTTTAAATGGTGTGTGATTTCAATAAATAGGATTTTCATTTGAAAATATTTACTTTTGCTTGGAAATCTCTTGGAGCTGCCGAAATATGGCAAGAAATGGCAATTTATGCGGAAAATTACACTGAAGATTCTGGATCCTTGTTGCCGTTTTATAAATAAATGGATTCCTTACATTCACAGCATGGCTCAGTTAGAGCATAAAATCCTTTCCTGAAGATCTTCTAACAATACAGGAAGAGTATTCATAAACAAGCCACTCTTCCCTACTTGCAAAGGAAATATCCCATTAGCAGAGTTTTGCTTATAATTTAGATTCTAAGCGAAGACATTCATAACATTCCTTCTAACTAAATACACAAATCACCTCTAATGACTCTATTCCCGTCCCCAGCGCACATTAGTTAAGTATATATAATAAAAGAATGCATGGCATAAATCAAAGCACCAACATTTTAAACTGCACGTGCCCACCTTCCCAAATTTGCCAGTGGTATCAATAAAATAATCCATGGAAAAGTAGGTTATATGTTGAAAATAAAGCATTTGAAAGTTCCACATTTGCGTAAGATTGACAGTATGTTTGTCTTTCAGTTGTACATCAAACCAATTGCCAAAGCAATTTAGTCGATTGCCAGTTGTATAATTAAATTAAGTATTACCTTAACTGGTTATCCAAGTACAGAATGCTAGTACTACAACCTCTAGCACCATTTTTCTACTTATGGCCCTCCAGATATCTTTAATGCCAAAACTTGCTAAGAGATTCAAGGGATTTAAAGCCCAACCTATCCAAAAAAACCCCCACCAGATTGTGAAAAACTGTTCCAGAAAGAGGACTGTGTTGCTGGGGGTGGGGGGAGAAAATCTTGAGGCAATGGTTTGCCAATTGCACATTGGCAGATAGGAAAGCACTCCAGAGGGTTAATGTCATTGCCCAGAAAATCATCGGTTGCCCTCTCCCCTCTTTGGAAGAGCTTTATAGCTCCCGCTGCCTTAAGAAAGTTCAAAACATTCTCAAAGATCCATCTCATCCTGGGCACCCCTTTTTTTTTGAACTATTACCATCTGGCAGACGGTACAGGATGATAAAAACAAGGACAAATAGGCCAAAAAACAGCTTCTATCCCAGGGCAGTAGCTCTTTTGAATTCTGCTGTATAGTGCAGTGTTGGTGTGGTGTGGTGTGGGCGGTCGGTTCAATGTGTGAAGGGTGAAGGATGTTTGTTTGTGTTTATTTTCCTGGTCATGGTCATGATGTGCATGGAAGATGGTGTTTGATTTCGTTGTACGAGGTACAATGACAATAAAGTAAACTAAATCTAAACACTATGATGCAAAATTAGAGCAGTTGTTGTCAATCCCTTCAGCAGAATACAGCCTCAAATTGAACACAGCTGTTGACCAAATTGGCCTTAGACTTCTGCAAATTCTCCAATACATCTGGCTGTCTCAGAAAAAAATCCCAGCCTCTTTCAAATAAGTTAATCCAGAACTATTAGGAGCAGGAAAAGGAGCAAATATAAAGACAATAAATCCCTATGGTAACTGGATCGTGCTGGATGTTTGCTTATATTTCACCAATAACTTCCTGAAGCACAGACTCCAATTGAGTTGCTTCCTGTGTTTGAGATCAGATGCCTCCAGTGTTTAAAGGCCACGTTTACAAATGTATTATTTACAATCCAAATGTTCAAAGTGGCTGAAGTGGCATGGCACTAGAGAAATTAATACACCTGCCTAACTACATGCTTTCATTAGAAAGTTTGTGTGGAAGAATCTCCCTCTTGGAAATCATTTTACTTATTTAGTTTATTAAATTTATGTCCCATGTTTCATTCAAAGTCCTCAAGAGCCATACTTGCATACATGTGAACCTATCCTTTTTTTCTTACCACAGAAACAACACTGAACTGAGAAAGTATAACTAGCTCAGGGAGAACCAGTGAGTCTCCATGGTTAGAGGTGGATCAAAACTTGCACCTTCCTGCTCCTAATTCAGCAGCTGAACTATTGTATAACATTAACTCTCCCATGGTTCATGAATATCCGTACTCAGAACAAGGTGTAAAACCTAGCACTGGTATAGCACTTGAAATGAATTCATACCAATTCTGACAAACTGCTCCAAAGAGAATGTATAAAAGTCTGAAGAGATTCTCAGCCATCCAGATCATGGTTGTCCCAAAGGTGCTTTTTTCAGGAGGCAACTGGACTTTCTTGTTTTTTTCTTTTGAAGACATTTGGCTTCTCATCCAAGAAGCTTCAGTTGACCCTGAGGACACAGATAAACCTCCAAGTGCTTTACCAACCCTCTAAAACAGGTCTGTCAAACTCACGACCCCAGGCCGGATGCATCATGTGCTGGCCACACCCAGGCCCAATTTAGCGAAGGGGGGGGAAAGTCATGATACATCATGTGACAATGATATGATGATGTGAGTTTGGCAGCCCTGCTCTAAAATGATGCAAATGACCAGCTGTCTGCAAGGAATATAAAGCCTTCCATTCCCCACTATCCAGTCAGAGCTGAAGAAGCTTCTTGGAGGAGAAGCGAAATGTCTTCAAAAGAAAGAACAAAGTCCAGTTGCCTCCTGAAAAAAAGCACCTTTGGGACAAGAGAATGTATAGTAGACCTCAACTTACTACCACAACTGAGCCCAAAATTTCTGTTGCTACGCAAGACAATTGTTAAATGAATTTTGTCCCATTTTACAACCTTTCTTGCCACAGTTATTAAGTGAATCGTTGCAGTTGTTAGGTTAGCGACACATCATTAAGTGAATCTGGCTTCCCCATTGGCTTTGCTTGTTAGAATGGTCACAAAAGATAATCACATGAGCTCAGGACACGGCAACCGTCATAAATATGAGTCAGTTGCCAAGCATCTGAATTTTGATCACCTAACCATGGGGGTGCCGCAAAGGTTGTAAGTGTGAGAAAATGGTCATAAGTTGTTTTTTTCAGCACTGTTGTAACTTCAAATGGTCACTAAATGAAATTTGATTACATGACTACGGAGACGCTGCAATGGTCATAAGTGTGAAAAATTTATATGTGACTAATAGAGTAAATCACTTTTTCAGTGCCACTGTAACTTGGAGCAGTCACTTAATGAATGTTTTAAGTTGAGAACTACTCGCATCTCCTTCTTAGATATGGTAATATGACCAGGAGGTTATTTAAGGCTGCAAAGGAACTATTTGAACTGGGAACATTCCAGTTCTCCCAAAGTGGCACTACATTTTTCTAACTTCTGAACGTTTAATACAAGGAAAACCATCTCCTTTGTAAGTGTGACAAGATTCAACAATATATTGCTAGCTATCAGCTGTAAGAGACTGTAATTTAATGCTCTTTTCCTTTTCAGTATCTCTTTAAAATCAGAGTTCAAATCTCCTGGTTCAAATTTCAAAACCGTTAAATATAGGTTTTGTGGTATGGTGGTTATGACCCCAGCAAAGGTTCATGCCAACAATATTTATCAAGTCGATAATCGGATCAGACAATCCCAGGGCAAAGGCTTTCCAAAAAATAAAAATAAAAACTTGTAGATATCACGTATCCCAATTTTCAGCTGCTACCATCGTTTGCTCTCTGACAGGATGAAATTATCAGACTAAATGCTGCTTCATTCATCTAGCTAATACAAATGGTTTCCATGGTAAAACACCAACTTATACAATCAACACTCAATAACAATATTAAAGTGTAAACAGGAAGAATATTGCTTAGAGATATTAATAGCATATTAATGCTCCCTAGCCATCTCAGGGAAAGGATACCCATTATAAAATTACAGGCATCAGGAAAGAGGCCAAGGCACACATTTCAAATTTCTAGTTTTGATCCATAAAATCTCCAGGCAAGAGAAAATGAAGCAAGTCTTCTGTCTAGGTCCTTTGAGGGCTACTGAGGTCTGGCCTAGATCATACTGGGGTAGATGAATTTATAGTCTGATGTATGGCAACACAGTTCTTGTATTCATATTCAAAGCATATGGTTCACCTTTGTTGAGTACATAATATGATTCGTATTACTGTTAATGCAGTTTACAGAAATGGATTTCTTCTCCGTCCCAAGACTTAAAAGACTTCACTGCAAGCAACAAACACTACTTTGAGATAGTTTGTCTTCTCTTACACCATGCCACAAAATAAACCAATTAAAGTCAATGACCAAAGGTCCAGATGAATATAAAACTAATGCCAATTAATAACGGAGGGAAAAGGTAGAAGGGAGTATTAAAGGAAACCCAACAGAGAGTGAAACCACTTTTCAAAACACCCACACAGAGACAGCAGCTCCCGACAAGAGAAATGTTCTCTACCAAAATAAACCACAAAGATTCTTTTCATGAAAAATTAAAGAGTTCTCTATATGCAGATTACATGACATTTAATTTTAGGAAACTCTGCTGAAATGAAACTCTTTTGTGCATGATTCCATTCATGAGATAAATGATTAAACAATACACATCCTTTTAGATAATTTTATATCCTCCTTTTAACACGCTTAATTCCTTCTTGAGGTTCATACATTACCTAGATTTAATTATTAAAACAGAAATAGAAACCATTATAAAATCATTTATATCTTACCTTGGCACTGAAACCCTTGTTTTCCAAACCCCCTGTAAGGAGGAGAAAAAAAGAAAAGACTTAGAAATATATTTTGATATTAAATTAATACTGATCTACAATATGTTTAAACTTATTGTCAGAGCAAAATGAAGCTGTTAAGATCTCTTACTTTCAACTAAAAACAGTTTCCCCCTCCCCAAATTCCTATATTCAGTTTTGAAGAAAATTTGTGAACTATTGCACAATGATATAATATATCAATGTAATGTGGAAACATTGTGATGTGGTACACTTAATATGACAAATAATGCAGGCTATCTTCTATTTGATACTGTATGTACTAGTAGCTTAACATTTTCTCTACTAAATTCTGCCACATGAGAAAAAATGGGCTACCGTTTATTCAAATGAAATCCAAATTTCTTTGGAAGGCACTTCTTGACTTTTTTTAAAAAAGTAATATTATTTTGACAATGTAATGATTCATATCACTCTATTAGGATTCCTTTTGATGTTGTGATAATTAATGATTAAACTATCTTTGCAGCTTTTAAAGTCCAAAGTCTCATATTTGGCTATGTGTCTAATTCAAACCCTGATAACCTGGCATTCTCTAGATAAATTAGACTCCAATTCCCCTAGCATCTGTTCCTTGTTCAGAATTATGGGGCTGTAGATCAATATATATGGAAGACAGTGGACAACTTTTCTACGAAAGCTGAATATGAGATCCACAAGCCAAGATATTCAATTATTGGGAGTTTTCCTATAGTCTAGTCCACCTCTCCTCAGGAAGACATTATTTTTCATACTAGACTGACTATTCAAAAATACAAAAAGCACTCTTGTAGACACTCATATTTGATCAGCAGTTGCCTTTGTAAATTGACGTTTCATATATTACAAAGAGAATTATAATCTGAAGTACATGCACATACAGAAGCCACCAGTCATCTATTAAGTCATCATTTCAGATGTATTTCCTTACTAAACAGAGCAGAAGAATGACTTCCTACCAGCTTTCCCACTGGCTGTGTTTGCGGGAAGCTTGCACGGAGCACCAGAAATCATTCCTTCTTGGCTGACACACAAAACTGCGTGCCATTTTGCCGGGAAGAAGGGAAACAAAGGGAGCCATGGATCATAAGGAAAATTATAATACCCTGCCCCTCATCCTGGTATGTCCCCAAGAGCGCCCTCCCCCAGGGGTGAAGAGGATTCACCCACCCACTACCAGCTAGACCTAGTGCCCCCCAGCTAGACCTATTTTGCCACCTACTACCTCATCCTTCTCTCGCCACCCACTGCCATTAAGAGATTTCAAATTTTAGTCTCAGTTTCAAAGCAGCCCCTTACCTGTCAGACCTAACAAGGGTCAGAGGGAGGCAGGGAAGAGGGCAAAGATATGGGCCTCCCATCTTCCCTTGTGCCATCCAACCTATAGGTTTCTGGGAAGTGTAGTTGGAAGGCATGGAGATGCTAAGGTAACTAGCTACAACTTCCATTAATTTCATTCTCACAGGAATCATGGGCCCCAGCATTCTATATTTAAGTTTAATTAAAAGTAACCATTTACGTTACTTGGGTTCAATAATTGCTGCTCTACACCTTCCGATTTCTTATTATGTGCAAACGTGTGTGCATGACATATGGTGACATATGTCATGACATATGACATATACTCTCATGATTCTGTAAAACACCTGAAGTCATTGATGAGTGAGCAGTCTCATAAAATAACTGAAGCACATAAATGTTGTCCTTAACCTGTCTCAAAAATAATATTACTTGATAGCTCAATGATCATTATAAATATCTGAGGTGTATGCTTCATAATTACTTAAGAGTCACTTTATGCACAAACCTACTTCTCTAGTAGAGAAACTCTTTATCATCTGAAACTAAAATGTATTAAATTTAAACATTTTTATAACCACAGGCTATAAGATTCTGGGTTCCTGCATCTCATTGGACCATATGAAATATAAGGGTATACTATATGTATATGGTCAGAAGAGCGGCTTCTAGGAATACCGGTAAAACTTTCTCTTAGTTCCACATTCCATTCAAAATTTGGTTAACAAAGATATCTACAACAGAATATAGAAAAACAGAGTTAGAAGGGACCTTGGAGGTTTTCTAGTCCATCCCGCTGCTCGAACAGGAGATCCTGACCTATACCATTCTGGCAAATGGCTGTCCAATCTCTTCTTAAAGACCTCCAGTGATGAAGCACCCACAACTTCTGAAGGCAAGCCTTTCCCCTGATTAATTGTTCTCACTATCAGGAAAATTTCTCTATAGTGGCACACAGAAAAAGTGCCCTATATCAATTCCATTTTCCCATTTGGGCCTGTTTTTCCTGTCTTTTTAAGCCAACATTGACTTTCATTTTTTCAGTCTAAGACTTCTCTGGAGCTAACCTTTGACTTCCACGTTTCTATCTGTGGCCTGAAAATCAGGTTTCCCTACTGAAAGTTTTATGAAAATAAAGAGATGAGAAGTGATGACCGACTTCAACTGTTTCCGATGGAAAAGGGCAATAGTCCCATTCACAGATTGCGCTAAATGATTTCCCAACCTTCAAAAATGGAATTTCATAGCTTATAAAAGACATAAGGATTGTGCATGCTGAAAGTTGTTATTGTATTTATGATACTAAATTATTGGCTGTACATGAAAATGTGCTGAACTATCTGCTTATCAAGATCAAGGACTATAGTCTCAAAATTGGCCTGCACTTTAATGAAAGACGAGCAAGATTCTAACAACTGGTAATATCAGTAATTTTATCTTTGACTGAGGGGAAATATATATAGCTGACAATTTCAATTGGCTTGGATAAGCAATGAAACTACAACCACCCAAATGATGAAATACTGTTGGAAAAATGGTTATGTAAGGCCAAAGTTCTTTTAAGTACAGAAAAATTTCCATATGTACCAAGATCTGATTTGTTTGGACCATGATATTTTCAAGAATATAATATGGATGGGCAAGTTGGACAATAAAGGCACAAGATGGGGGGGTGGGGGGAACCCATATACTGCAGATATCAAGGATTGCCTGATAAACAGATCAGTCAATATCGAGGAAATCAAAGCTAAACTTTCCACAAAAGCTCAAGTGACAAGACCAGCCATCAAGCTATGGACACTTCAGGCAAAGAGACAGATAATTAGACAGATAATCTCATGCTTAGTCGGGTTGAAAGAAAATACGAAAGAGAACGACTGGCAGGGTGAAGGGTTGGTATAATAACAGCAGCCCCTGGTGCCATCCTAACAAGGATCAGCCATCTAAAACTGAGGACAGTTCAGGGCAACCATTCACTGGGACGCGAGGAGTTGACATTGTCTTGACAGCAACTAACAACGCACGGGTCATGGGAGAGAGAAAAGGTCCCAGTGGAAGAGCAATCCTGTGTCCAAGTAAAACAGATGCAATCCCACTTAGATATTTAACTTAGTTAAATCCAGCTGCAAGGAAGAATTTTTCAGAGACCACAGAATGGTAAACAATTATGTTTCCATAATAAGGTGGAGATTTCATATGGGCAAGAGGCTTTTTTGTCTGCTTTATTTCTATGAACACACTGTAGGAGTTTAAATATAGATTAACAGTGTCTATTACCTATCAGTAACCAGGACATAAATGTTTGACTTCAATATTCTTTTGGGCTACTTCAAAAAAAAAAAAAGTCCTTACTTCTGCAAATGTTAGCAAGCTCTGAAGGCGCAAACAATAATGCTACAAAAATATCCAAATTGATGTTGTTAAAAACAGCTGTTAGCCTCTTACCACAGGGTGGAAGTTAAGGTTTTAATAATAAAACATGATTTCTATCCACTGCCTCAAGACAGAAAACTTAAATTTAAAAAAATGTGCTTATTGATTACCATTTCTGCATTGTGAATATTTTCAATACAAACAATTCAAACAAATAAAAAAAATATTCATTGAATACCTATCTAAAAATAAATTTAAAAATACTCATCATGTAAGAATTACACAGGAAAAAATAGCCAGCATTACCCATTAAAATCACAGGTGCTCTTCTTTTAGTTCAACAACAACATATTTGATAAAGACAGGTAATCCTCAACTTACAACCACAATTAAGCCCAAAATTTTTGTTGCTAAGCGAGACAGTTGTTAAATGAAATTTGCCAACATTTTACAACCTTTCTTGCCACAGTTAAATGAATCACTTCAGTTGTTAGGTTAGTAACATGGTTGTTAAGTGAATCTGGTTTCTCTGTTGACTTTGTTTGTCAGAAGGTTGCGAAAGGGGTTCACATGAGCCCGGGACCCTGCAACCATCATAAATATGAGTTAGTTGTCAGGCATCTGAATTCTGATCTTGTGACCACGGGGATGCTGTAATAATTGATGTGAAAAACAGTCATAAGGTTTTTTTCCGGTGCCATTGTAATTTCAAATGGTCACAAAATGAATGGTTGTAAGTTGAGGACAACCTGTACTACTGATTAACTCTAACACACTGTTTACATAATGATTGCTAGCATCTTTGATAAATGGTTGTAATTAAATGTCTTCTGAGATAAGATCTTGTAATTCAATGGGCAGATATTTTTCTCCTATAAACTATAAAAAAAGCTTTGAAGAATATACATATAACTCCTTTACTGCTAACACAGAAACACAAGTCAGAGAGGGAAATAAGGGCTAAAGTAACCTGCTTCAACCACGAAACTTACCATTTCTGAACTCAGCATATTGTTTCTGTCTCTCATTCTCTTTCTCTGTCTCCCCATTTAACCCATTTGCTCTAAGAAGAAGGGCAGAGCTAATATAAGTACTACTTTGAGCTTGTGGAGTAAAGCTGGAGTACAAATTTAACAATATATAAATCAAGTTGTACAAGAGGAATTTCAAAGTACTGTAGCTTTTAAAATGCATTAATTATCCCTCTGTACTTGACAATACAGCCAATGGATAATTTAACTTCTGCATAACCCTTCTGTTCCCAGGTGGTCTCAAATCACTGGTCATTTTTATCCTTTGTGACTTTTTAAAAATCCATGAC